TGTATCCTACATTACCCTATTTCCTTTGTCAATTTTAATTTATGTCAAAGCATTCCTGTGTGAACAGGTGTGAGCAGTCATGAGAAAAGTCATGATGCTGTCTAATTGACTTACCCAATAACCTATCAAGAACGGATGGAACATTTGCTGTAGGAATGTCAACAGTTTCTCCCCGTTAGGTTGTCTCGTTATCTCATTACCAGTAATGCTTATGATACCGTTACTTTGAAACTTCCTTAAAACTCCATTAAAATCCTGGAAGAAATGTACTGTATTATTTCTGGGTCACGTTACCATGGCAAATTAGAAAATTAATTATATTATCCCACTTTTGGTCATGTGTTGCATTGCTCTGGTTGTACCTTTATTCCTGTCATTCCACACATGTTTTTATGCAGATAGCTTTATTCATTTGTAGAGTCTAATACTTAACAGTAAACTGTACATAACTTGTAAACCGCCAATGTAAATCAGACCTTTTCTAAGACTGCACATATTTTACTATTACTGTTGTATATGCTAAAATATGCACACACATCAACAATTCTCAGTTTAACTCATTCAAAGTTTTCAAAAAGTTCTGATCAAGTTTTTTTGCAGTTAAACTGTTCCTCTATTCATATCAATTGTTAATCTAGATCTGTGTGGTGTTAGAATGTTAGAACTTAAAATAAAAGTGTTGAAGAAGAAAGAGATGAAAACATAGTTTACCTGTTCAGCTAATTTGGGATGAAAGATAAACTCTGAAGACATAATTTTAACTAAATAACTGTACTCTGTAAATAACTGATCTGGAAGATAGAAAACAAACATGTGGAATAATTGCCATTTCTGGTCGCATCATTTAAACATAGCATTATAAAGTCAGTGGTTGACAGGCGAATAACTTTCAGAGCTAGTTATATAGTGTTAAATAAAAAAAAATCGACGAAAAATCGAAGGCAGTTATTGGGAAAACATACAAAAATATGGTGTAAAAAAGATTTTTCATTACCTTTAAAGCATGATATTCGACTTCCGAGACAAAGCGATACTAAAGCCATCCTTACAAAAACATGTGTTATTTGGTTTCTATAGTGACCAAGTACGATGTATACTGTCGCCATATTCATTATTTCTTGTTGTGTCATCTCTTCAATGTTAGTAGTTTTTCTGTGATTAGTGCCATCAACATCAAGGTTAACAACCAGTCTACCATCCTTAGTTACCGAGGCAACATTATGATGAACGGATAGACATGAGTGGATAATAGCTTGGATTGGTTGATGTGCTAATGTAAACAACAAATATACAATCAGGTTATACAACATACTAATATATATATACAAATAATCTGGTGTTTGTAAACAGTTGCCAAAATATGAGCCATCATTGTTTACATTCAATTATCTGGTGTTTGTGAACAGTTGCTAAAATATGAGCCATCATTTTTTACATTCAATGATCTGGTGTTTGTGAACAGTTGCCAAAATATGAGCCATCATTGTTTACATTCAATGATCTGGTGTTTGTGAACAGTTGACAAAATATGAGCCAACATTGTTTACATTCAATGATCTGGTGTTTGTGAACAGTTGCCAAAATATGAGCCATCATTGTTTACATTCAATGATCTGCTGTTTGTGAACAGTTGCCAAAATACAAGCCATCATTGTTTACATTCAATGATCTGGTGTTTGTGAACAGTTGCCAAGATACAAGCCATCATTGTTTACCATACATTCAATGATCTGGTGTTTGTGAACAGTTGCCAAGATACAAGCCATCATTGTTTACATTCAATGATCTGGTGTTTGTGAACAGTTGCCAAAATATGAGTCATCATTGTTTACATTCAAATGATCTGGTGTTTGTGAACAGTTGCCAAAATATGAGCCATCATTGTTTACATTCAATGATCTAGTGTTTGTGAACAGTTGCCAAGATACAAGCCATCATTGTTTACATTTAATGATCTGGTGTTTGTGAACAGTTGCCAAGATACAAGCCATCATATGCATAATTTGCATAACACCGCAATTAATAATTTCAGTCCAGAGCTCATTTTTAAACACATGTTAAAGGCTTTAAAGTAATTTTACAGATAATAGACTTAATTAAACTTACCGGGCCAATCAACATAAAAACCAAATCCCGATATTTGTTCATATAACCACTGAAGATCTTGATACAAAAGTTCCAACGTCATTTCACCATGATTCATTAAAAGTAACGTGGATATCAGACTCCACACTGGAGCGACAAGATACTTCTGTTGTTGTAAGATAAGTGTATGAGCAAACCCATGAACAAACTCTTGCTCTTCTTCAGTCAGAGAAAATTTAAACCTTAAAGAATAAGAAATAAAAAAGATGTTATAAATCATACTAATTCATCATTCAAGTAAAAACACAGAATAGAATTATAAATTACATATTTATTTGATAGAATGTATGATGAAAATGAAGATTTATCCAACTTGATCAACTCCATTTATTAAAGGGAGGTGGTCATCATAAAGCGCGAGTTTGAATTTAATGTGAATAGAATTGTACCGGTAACTGTTGTACATTCACTACCGGTATATGTTTAAATTTATAACTGTATACGTTGTATGGGTCCCACATTGAACATGCTGTGGAGTGACAACCACATTGCACAGCTTTTTATATAGTACCACACACAAAATGAAATAATTGAATGTTTTGAAAACAAATTCATAAGTCTGCACCAACTAATGTATTCAACTTAATTTAAATACTGCAATATATCCAGACAGAACAGTTATTCAGAATTCCAGAACGTATAAACAAAGATATCCACAATTTACGTGGATAGAGATGTGTTTTGGCCCGACAATTCATCTATTCTGTTACCTTGGTGATAAATTATGCTTGCTTCTATTTACATGACCTTCACTGAATCTCCGGAGTGATAACGGTTCGCTAAAATGAACATAAAACCGACCATAATCTTCATTTAGTATGGTTCTTGCTTTGAACAGACCCTACAGAGACATCAAACAGGACAATTTTT